AGCCTGGTGTTTCGGCAACAACGACACCCAGCGAACCGGCTGATATCTACACTTCCGCCAACGTCACCATTCACTGCAAGGTCCATCACCTCAATGTCACAACGTTATCGCTTCGACTTCCAAACGGGTCTGACATTGTAAACATTAGTGGTAACCAATTAGACAAAACTGTTACTAACATACAATCTGAAGACAAGGGCCCCTATACCTGCCAAGTTCGGGACACTCATGGAAACGTCTTCAATGAAACGATTGTACTTGACATCGCCAACTGTCCACCTAATCGGAAAGGTGAGTTCTGTGATGAAGCATGTGACTGTCTCCGTGGCGCCAGCTGTGACTGGAGGTCCGGCTGCGTCTGTCCCCCGGGCTGGACAGGAGACAGGTGTCAGACCACATGTCCGAACGGCACGTACGGCGAGCGGTGCGCGAAGAAGTGTCGTTGTCGAAATGGTGCTAGTTGCACCCCTAGCGACGGTGAGTGTTCCTGTACTGCTGGCTGGTACGGGTCGTTTTGTGACGTTCCCTGTCCCAGACACAGGCACGGCTTCAGGTGTCAGAAGATCTGCACCTGTAAAAACAACGCCACCTGCGACAACGTGGACGGCAGCTGCACCTGTGCAGCGCCCTGGAAAGGAAAGGATTGTGACGAAATCCAAGCAATTGGATCAAAAACATTGGTTGAACTCCTTGTTCCTTTAGGTTCTGTAATTGCCCTGCTTGCTTGTGCAGCGATCGTACTTCACAAAAAGCGCCCCCTGTGTGACGACACCGCCGCTGCAGACGGGGAGACTGAAGCTCTCCTGGAGTTAGAGCAGGTACAGACTGACCTGGCACAGACCGTCGAACCGGGCTGGCTGAGACGCTGGCAGACGGCCAGCCGACATCTGACACTGGGTCACCTGGTGGGGATGGGGATGTTCGGACACGTCATTAAGGCCAAGCTGAAGATATCTACGGGAGAAATCACCACCGTAGCTGCCAAGGCGGTCCGAAGAAAAGACACGCAATGTTATCGGAACTTCTACACGGAGGCGGCCATCTTGGTAGCCTTGCATGAAGACCAGCATCACGACAACCTTCGCTCCAACATCATCCAATTGTTGGGGTTAGTAAATGAAGCGTCACGGAAATATATCCTCATGGAATACGCTTCTAAAGGAAACCTCCTGCGCTTGTTGCGACGGACACGCAGGCAGAACGGGACCGCCTCTCTCCCACATCATCTCCGCTACGCCATCCACATTGCCCGAGCTCGAGCTCTTCAGGAGCTCCAACGCCTGGCCATCACACACTGTGACGTGGCCGCACGGAACGTTCTCATCACTGCTGACGACGTGGCCAAGTTGGCCGACTTTGGACTTGCGCGAGACGTGTACGCCACCGTGCAGTATGTTACTGACGACGGGAGAGAACAACGGCAAGACAATAAAGAAAATGAAGTTCTACCGTTAAACTGGATGTCTCTGGAATCACTAGAGAAAGGTGAGTACACCTGTCAGAGTGACGTGTGGTCCTTCGGCGTGCTGCTGTGGGAGATCGCCGCGCAGGGTCAGGAACCGCGTTACGACGGCAATAACAACCCGAGCTGCCGGCAACTCGCACAGACCCTCCGGAGGGGAATCCGGCTCAGACGGCCTCCGGAGTGTTCCGGAGAGGTGTATGTCGTCATGAACTCGTGTTGGCAGGAATTGCCGTCAGAAAGACCGGATCCGAATGTGTTGGAGGAAAAACTTCAGCAAGTGCAACATGCGATGATTCCGCGCTTACTTATTGAAATGGAAACAGCCGTGTAGGCCGCCCCTGGAGGTGTCATCAAAATACATACCAAATAACATCTAAAATAAGAGTGATCGCTGTTTTGTTTACATCATATACATGCAAATTTACTTGAAGACATATGCAAATTATTAGTAGGCAAGTGAGCCAACTGTAATCTGCATGCTACTAGTATTTGCCTGGCTGTGACATCATGGCGATCTGTCGCATGGTCAGAACAAATGCGCAGCCAATACTATGTAACGTTAAATGTTATATATGTTTATTTGAAGTTACACAGTTTGAGCCCCTTTTGTCGATCAAGGATAAATGTCGGTCAAGGAAATAACGACGAATTGTCATATATATATATATATATATATATGTATATAGGTACCTTAGGTATGTACACCATGAATTTAAAATATTCAAATGAGGCCCTACGCATACTTTGAATAATTATTAAGGAAATTCCGACACCAGTGTTTAACGTGTTATTTTTGTCCTGGACATACTATAGTTTTGAATTTTGGGTGGCATGTAGCTAATTGTAGGGCACGAAAACGTGCTACAGGTTTGAGCCCCCTACCAGTACATGTTATAACAGTTACTGTAGGGGCGATTTTGTATAAATTCTACTTGTAAGTCCTTATTTCGCCTGGCATTCTGTAGGTGTGCAGCTCTCATAAAATCATTAAACATATTTGGCGATTGTGTAAATACATATATACTGTATGCTGATAGTACTTTTCATTAGACACTTCTTAAACAGAGCTAGACAGAATTATAAACCATGCATGTTTCAATACTTCCCTTATACTTCTTCATGTCGTTCATCTATAAGGCTCACAAAGACAAATGCATATCTATAAATTCACAAAGAACCTTTATTTGCAGCAAACGAAAACACTTTGAAAAGTATGTTTACAAGTTGTAAAGGGCACCTATAGCTAATTACATCGTATATATGTACTTCAAGATAAACATAACGTTTTGTTTTATTGCTATTAAATGTATTAAATACAGAATACCAAAACCAACACTAGCCTACCGCTGTACATTTACAAAATACCTGTACTAATTCTATTACCTATTGTCTATGACAATCATGATTGCTAAACAAAAGTAAAGATAATATACTTAATGATATTCTACAAACATCTAGATTAATAGAGAAAATTAAACTAACTGGATAATGTTGTTAAGTACTATTCCATTTAAACAACAAAGTTAGTTAATGACTATGGCATTTAAATAATAAAAGTTAGTCCATGACTATGGCAAAAGTCCAAAAACATGCAAGACATGCAAAATGAGGTTAGCTTAGACATTATAATACAGTACTTTGCATACAAATTACCTTGTACATCAGCAATGTGCCAAAGAATGCTATTAATCAGGTGCACTGCAGTGTAATCATAGTATATAACATAAACCATTGTAATCGTAATAGTAACAATTTTTACTATCGCCAAATGAGTAATGTATCATAAAGGGTCCTCAAAAGGCATTGATTTGTTTATGATCAGTTGATGATCTGACCTTCCAAAACCTTGTTGAGAGAACTTGAGACGTACCGCCCCCTTCCAAATTTCATGATAATCCATCCATAGCTTCGTGATCGCTTGAGTTATCGATGCTGAACCTCACACACACATACAGACACACACACACACACACACACACACACACACACTCACACACACACACGCCACACACTCTCACACACACACACACACACACACACACACACACACACACACACACACACTCACACACACATACCCCCCCCCCGGGGTACACTAGACGACATCCAGTAGATTTCTAGCGGGAACCAATCAGAGGGCTGCTGACAGGTCACCGACCAGCGGCTATTAGCACCTTGTTTCATGTAAATGCCATGAACTCAACCAGAGCGCGTATATTGTTTCTTGTTTACTTCAGTACTTTGTACTAGTACTTCCACAATCAGTTTGTAAAATCATATCTTAGTAAAATCTACTTTGATGAACGAATCGAAATGGGACTGTAGACATGGAGTTTTACACATTCAAATGGGGTTGAACTTGTGCTAATGGAGCGACTACTACGGGAAGGAACGGACCCTAGCGAAGCCGAGATTTGTAAAGCAAACCCAACCCATCGAAGACGGGCCGTCAAACACAAAAATGAACTATAACTTGCCATACCCTGTCAAACACTACATAATTGAGAAAAATTCATAAGTCTTCAAGGTTAACATCATCTGGCGAAGTTATAAGGTCGTGGAACTCTCGTTGAATTGAAATTCATTCCTCAGATTAAAGTCGACGTCGTAAGGAATTCTTCGCAAATTATATGTTATATAATTAATTCGCAAATATCGATGTTGGTCTTTTGAACTATTTACTAATTCATTTATTCATTCATTATACATCAGTGTCATGAAATAGTCAAGCGTTCTTCACAATGCGTTGGTTTCCCGATAGTTATTTGGGATTCCCCAGGAATAACCGAATAAGGAACATCTACACGGGCGAGTGAACATACACAATACAAGTGCACCCTAGATAAGTGTTTCTGCAATGCGCCCATCGGATACTTACATGTAGTGTATGCTGTCTTGTTGGAGTGCAGGTTTTCTTATGATCCTTCATAGCCTTCGCTGCAGTATGTCAGTCAACTACTACCGACTCACGCTTCTGCTCAGAGTGTATAGTCTTTTGTGTTGGGCCAGTGAAGACAAATACACCGTTTCCGTGCCTGAAAATGCCAAACCTGGGACAGACGTTGTCAGTTTGCTGGAAATAGGGAAAGCGGAACTTCCGTGTGTGATCGTGGAAGGAGATCCGTATGGCCGCTTCTGTGTGAGTACGAACTCTACTGTAGTGGTGTTCAAGCCGCTAGACTGGTCAGTACAATCAGACTATCTACTCAAGATTCGTGTGGGACAGCTTAAAGACACAAGTCACCGTACGCGTATCGTCAGCGTTCTAATAATCGTGACTAACGTCCCTGGCTATCCTCCTGTGTACAACGAGACGTGTGAACCACCGGTTAGACATTCGGGGGATTCTGACGGATTTCTGTTTAGTCTTGGGGCGAGTGCACAGATTGAGACGATTAGCGGGGATGTTATTTTCGTTGAGAAGATTACTACAAAACCTCAAGAGGACTGGGATATGGAAGACCCTGCGTTCACAATCGTCATAGACAACAACTGTCGGGTTAACATAGCACTAGACGCCCGTGGTATAGTGGATATGGCATTCGCAGCAGAATTGCGGCTGGCGACTTTTGAGAGCGGTTCACGTAAACTGCTATGTTATGCGGAGTCTAATACCATACTACATGAGTTCTTCATTGAACTCTTTCAAGTCCATGACAGGTACAAAGATAATCTACATTACCTAGAATAATACAGATCGCACGTCTTGGAGAAACTTAAGAAACCACGTTTGGTCTATTTCATTTCTTTTCAATCTCCAGTCAAAACTGCAACTCGCTATAACTGCAACTTCCCGGCGTTACGGCATCCCGTCGGTTTGTCTTCTCTGTACCGGCATCTGGGTGGAGTCAAAAATGTGGAGGCGGTAACTGTGGATGTGAGTCCAGTCGGCTGCCCTCCTGGTAAATACGGACTCCTTTGTGACAAGACCTGCATCTGTAAAAATGGCGCCCGTTGCCATGGTTTCAATGGTGCCTGTAAATGTACACACGGATGGCAGGGTGTGGCCTGTGACATCCCGAAGCCTGGTGTTTCGGCAACAACGACACCCAGCGAACCGGCTGATATCTACACTTCCGCCAACGTCACCATTCACTGCAAGGTGCATCACCTCAACGTCACAACGTTATCGCTTCGACTTCCAAACGGGTCTGACATTGTAAACATTAGTGGTAACCAATTAGACAAAACTGTTACTAACATACAATCTGAAGACAAGGGCCCCTATACCTGTCAAGTTCGGGACACCCGTGGAAACGTCTTCAATGAAACGATTGTACTTGACATTGCCAACTGTCCACCCAATCGGAAAGGTGAGTTCTGTGATGAAGCATGTGACTGTCTCCGTGGCGCCAGCTGTGACTGGAGGTCTGGCTGCGTCTGTCCTCCGGGCTGGACAGGAGACAGGTGTCAGACCCCATGTCCGAACGGCACGTACGGCGAGCGGTGCGCGAAGAAGTGTCGTTGTCGAAACGGTGCTAGCTGCGCCCCTAGCGGTGGTGAGTGTTCCTGCACTGCTGGCTGGTACGGGTCGTTTTGTGACGTTCCCTGTCCCAGACACAGGCACGGCTTCAGGTGTCAGAAGATCTGCACCTGTAAAAACAACGCCACCTGCGACAATGTGGACGGCAGCTGCACCTGTGCAGCGCCCTGGAAAGGAAAGAACTGTGACGAAATCCAAGCAATTGGATCAAAAACATTGGTTGAACTCCTTGTTCCGTCAGGTTTTGGAATTGCCCTGCTTGCTTGTGTAGCGATCGTACTTCACAAAAAGCGCCCCCTGTGTGACGACACCGCCGCTGCAGACGGGGAGACTGAAGCTCTCCTGGAGTTAGAGCAGGTACAGACTGACCTGGCACAGACCGTCCAGCCGGGCTGGCTCAGACGCTGGGAGACGAGCAGCCGACATCTGACACTGGGTCACCTGGTGGGGATGGGGATGTTCGGACACGTCATTCAGGCCAAGCTGAAGATATCTACGGGAGAAATCACCACCGTAGCTGCCAAGGCGGTCCGAAGAAAAGACACGCAATGTTATCGGAACTTCTACAAGGAGCCGGCCATCTTGGTAGCCGTGCATGAGGACCAGCATCACGAAAACCTTCGCTCCAACATCATACAATTGTTGGGGTTAGTAAATGAAGCGTCACGGAAATATATCCTCATGGAATACGCTTCTAAAGGAAACCTCCTGCGCTTGTTGCGACGGACACGCAGGCAGAACGGNCCAGGAACCGCGTTACGACGGCAATAACAACCCGAGCTGCCGGCAACTAGCACAGACCCTCCGGAGAGGAATCCGGCTCAGACGGCCTCCGGAGTGTTCCGGAGAGATGTATTTCGTCATGAACTCGTGTTGGCAGGAAATGCCGTCAGAAAGACCGGATCCGGATGTGTTGGAGGAAAAACTTCAGCAAGTGCAACATGCGATGATTCCGCGCTTACTTATTGAGATGGAAACAGCAGTGTAGGCCGCCCCTGGAGGTGTCACCAAAATACATACCAAATATCATCTGAAATACGAGCGATCGCTGTTTTGTTAACATCATATATATGCAAATTTACTTGAAGACATATGCAAATTAGTAGTAGGCAAATGAGCCAACTGTAATCTGCATGCTACAAGTATTTACCTACCACTTTCTGGCTGTGACATCATGGCGATCGGTCGCATGGTCAGAACAAATGCGCAGCAAATACTATGTAACGTTAAATGTTGCATATGTTTATTTGAAGTTACATAGTTTGAGCCCCTTTTGTCGATCAAGGATAAATGTCGGTCAAGGAAATAACGACGAATTGTCATAATATATATAGGTATATAGGTACCTTAGGTATGTACACCATGAATTTAAAATATTCAAACGAGGCCCTACGCATACTTTGAATGATTATTGAGGAAATTCCGACACCAGTGTTTTACGTGTTATTTTTGTCCTGGACATATACCATAGTTTTAAATTTTGGGTGCCATGTAGCTTTGTAGGTCACAAATACGTGCTATATGTTTGAGCCCCCTACCAGTACATGTTATAACTGCAGGGGTGATTTTGTAAAAATTCTACTTGTAAGTCCTTATTTCGCCTGGGATTCTGTAGGTGGGCAGCTCTCATAAAATCATTAAACATATTTGGCGATTGTGTAAATACATATATACTGTATGCTGATAGTACTTTTCATTAGACACTTCTTAAACAGAGCTAGACAGAATTATAAACCATGTTTCAATACTTTCCTTATACTTCTTCATGTCTTTCATCTAAAAGGCTCACAAAGACAAATGCATAGCTATAAATTCACAAAGAACCTTTATTTGCAGCAAACGAAAACACTTTGAAAAGTATGTTTACAAGTTGTAAAGGGCACCTATAGCTAATTACATCGTATATATATGTACTTCAAGATAAACATAAGGTTTTGTTTTATTGCTATTAAATGTATTAAATACAGAATACCAAAAACAACACTAGCCTACCTCTGCACATTTACAAAATACCTGCACTAATTCTATTACCTATTGTCTATGACAATCATGATTGCTAAACAAAAGTAAAGATAATATACTTAATGATATTCTACAAACATCTAGATTAATAGAGAAAATTAAACTAACTGGATAATGTTGTTAAGTACTATTCCATTTAAACTACAAAGTTAGTTAATGACTATGGCATTTAAATAATAAAAGTTAGTCCATGACTATGGCAAAAGTGCAAAAACATGCAAAACATGCAAAATGAGGTTAGCTTAGACATTATAATACAGTACTTCGCATACAAATTACCTCGTACATCAGCAATGTGCCAAAGAATGCTAGTAATCAGGTGCACTGCAGTGTAATCATGGTACATAAACCATTGTAATCGTAATAGTAACACTTTTTACTATCGCCAAATGAGTAATGTATCATAAAGAGTCCTCAAAGGCATTGATTTGTTTATGATCAGTTGATGATCTAACCTACCAAAACATTATAAGTTGAGAGAACTTGAGACGTACCGCCCCTCCCCCTTCCAAATTTCGTGATAATCCATCCAAGGCTTCGTGATCGCATGAGTTATCGATGCTGAACCTCACACACACACACACACACACACACACACACACACACACACACACACACACACACACACACACACACACACACACACACACACACACACACATACACACACACACACACACACACACACTGTACACATCCCTGGCGAAAAGAAGACGTAAAGAAGCATCCCTGGCGACCTCATATTGCATCCCACCATCCAGGGCATATCGGGTCGCAACCCTGTCAATCAAATGAAACCCAATCTCCGCCCACTCCAATTGTTTTACCTTCGCCAAGAAGGTTATGGTTTTGTTATGTACGTGGTTTAGTACGATAACTCAAGAAGCTATATTGGATTGTAATGAAACTTGGTAGGGAGGTAGAAGAGAAGGTAAGGAAACTTGGTAGCCTCTATCAGGCACCGCGGATAACTGGAAAAATAGTAGAAATTGGCCGAAATAAAGGGATAGTATACCAGAAAGGATCCCGGGCCATAGAAGATCCAATTCGCGAATTCGCGAATTGGATCTTCTCTCTCTAATATTTTCCTGCGATCCTCGGTGCCTGGTAGAGGCTAGAAACTAGGTAGGGAGGTAGACGTTGGGCTTCCTAGCGGTTTGTGTAGCTACTGCAGCGGAACGGTCTGTTTTGATGTCTCGTCCTCTGGACATGTCAGGGTCACGGATTTGGGTTGGTAGCCAGCTAATGTGCTTAGAAAGAAGAAGTTACGTGAGTTTGGCTCCCCGAGAAACTGCAGCAGCATTTGTTTACAAAATGTTGAGGAAGGATAACTCAAGAACCGGTTGGTGGGTGGTCATGATTTTTTGTATGTAGGTGGCTTAAGTAATGCTTGATATAATTACATGGCAATTATGCAAATCAGGGTTCTAATTTACATCATCAATAAGGAAATGCCAAAAATTTGCTGCATTCTATGATGGGAATATTCGAACTTGTGACATATGTAATTGATAACGAGAAGAACATCAGCAGATATTGATTATGTAAATGAGATAATTTGCATAATTGAGAAAAAATTCGCAAGTCTTCAAGGTAAACATCATCTGGCGAAGTTATAAGGTCGTGGAACTCTCGTTGAATTGAATTCATTCCTCAGCTTGACTAAAGTCGACGTCGTAAGGAATTCTTCCAAATTGTATGTCACAAATATCGATGTCGGTATTTTGAACTATTTACTAATTCATTTATTCATTCATTATACATCAGTGTCATGAAATAGTCAAGCGTTGTTCACAATGCGTTGGTTGCCCGATAGTTATTTGGGATTCCCCAGGAATAACCGAATAAGGAACATCTACACGGGCGAGTGAACACACACAATACAAGTGCACCCTAGATAAGTGTTTCTGCAATGCGATCGGATACTTACATGTAGTGTATGCTGTCTTGTTGGAGTGCAGGTTGTCTTATGATACTTCATAACCTCCGCTGCAGTATGTCAGTCAACTACTACCGACTCACGCTTCTGTTCGGAGTGTACAGTCTGCTGTGTCGGGCCAGTGAAGACAAATACACCGTTTCTGTGCCTGAAAATGCCAACCCTGGGACAGACGTTGTCAGTTTGCTGGAGATAGGGAAAGCGGAACTTCCGTGTGTGNCTAAAATCAACAATAGATGTTCGTCAAGTGTTTTGGTTTTCTTTACCTTGCGAAGGTTATGGTTTTGTTATGTACGTGGTTTAGTACGATAACTCAAGAAGCTATATTGGATTGTAATGAAACTTGGTAGGGAGGTAGGTGAGAAGGTAGGGAAACCTGGTAGCCTCTACCAGGCACCGAGGATCGCAGGAAAAATAGTAGAAATTGGCCGAAATAAAGGGATAGTATACCAGAAAGGATCCCGGGCCATAGAAGATCCAATTCGCGAATTGGTTCTTCTATGGGCCGGGATCTTCTCTCTCTAATATTTTCTTGCGATCCTCGGTGCCTGGTAGAGGCTAGAAACTAGGTAGGGAGGTAGGCTTCCTAGCGGTTTGTGTAGCTACTGCAGCGGAACGGTCTGTTTTGATGTCTCGTACTCTGGACATGTCAGGGTCACGGATTTGGGTTGGTAGCCAGCTAATGTGCTTAGAAAGAAGAAGTTACGTGAGTTTGGCTCCCCGAGGAACTGCAGCAGCATTTGTTTACAAAATGTTGAGGAAGGATAACTCAAGAACCGGTTGGTGGGTGGTCATGATTTTTTGTATGTAGGTAGCTTAAGTGATGCTTGATATAATTACATGGCAATTATGCAAATCAGGGTTCTAATTTACATCAATAAGGAAATGCTATAGATTTGCTGCATTCTATGATGGGAATATTCGAACTTGTGACATATGTAATTGATAACGAGAAGAACATCAGCAGATATTGATTATGTAAATGAGATAATTTGCATAATTGAGAAAAAATTCGTAAGTCTTCAAGGTTAACATCATCTGGCGAAGTTATAAGGTCGTGGAGCTCTCGTTGAATTGAAATTCATTCCTCAGCTTGATTAAAGTCGACGTCGTAAGGAATTCTTCGCAAATTATAAGTTATATAATTAATTCGCAAATATCGATGTTGGTCTTTTGAACTATTTACTAATTCATTTATTCATTCATTATACATCAGTGTCATGAAATAGTCAAGCGTTGTTCACAATGCGTTGGTTGCCCGATAGTTATTTGGGATTCCCCAGGAATAACCGAATAAGGAACATCTACACGGGCGAGTGAACACACACAATACAAGTACACCCTAGATAAGTGTTTCTGCAATGCGCCCATCGGATACTTACATGTAGTGTATGCTGTCTTGTTGGAGTGCAGATTTTCTTATGATACTTCATAACCTCCGCTACAGTATGTCAGGCAACTACTACCGACTCACGCTCCTGCTCGGAGTGTACAGTCTGCTGTGTCGCGCCAGTGAAGACAAATACACCGTTTCCGTGCCTGAAAATGCCAACCCTGGGACAGACGTTGTCAGTTTGCTGGAGATAGGGAAAGCGGAACTTCCGTGTGTGATCGTGGAAGGAGATCCGTATGGCCGCTTCTATGTGAGTACGAACTGTACTGTTGTGGTGTTCAAGCCGCTAGACTGGTCAGTACAATCAGACTATCTACTCAAGATTCGTGTGGGACAGCTTGAAGACACAAGTCACCGTACGCGTGTCGTCAGCGTTCTAATAATCGTGACTAACGTCCCTGGCTATCCTCCTGTGTA